TTCAGCAAGAACAACAAGCGGAATTGGTCTGTGAAGCTTGTTACTATCAACAGTACACACACTTCCCTCAAGAAGTTCTTTTCACTGGCTGGTTTTCTCAAATCGACTTTGGAAAGTAAAAAAACATCATACCCAACCCAGCCAGGATTTGGCTTGGAAGAAACAGTCAATCAAGAATGAAGAGATCATCATGGAAAGCTTTTCATCTTTCAGAGGTTGATTCAAATTTATTTTTGTACCTCAGCTTATGCTTACTTTATCTAAATATCAAAAAGAAGGACCACCCGCATGAGTTCCGGTACCCACTCGGGCAATCCCCCCGCATTCCTGGTGGTGCTTTTCATCAATCCTGCTTTTCTTTGTTCTTGGCCTTCTCTCATGTCTTTCATTGTCCCTTTTCTTTTGACTGGGCTGCGAACCATCATCATAATACTTTGTCACCATTGTTTTATCCATCATTGGTTTGCTTTGTAGTACCTCTCTTTGGACTTTTTACTTTCCTTCTTGTGCTGCTGTTACCGCTTTTGCATCACACCCTAATAGTCTCTGCATTGTTTGCATTGTACCTTAACACCGTCTCGGCCTTGTGACTTTTGGCCATAGAAGTGTAAATCTTAAATCAATCCTTCCTCAAATCGGCCCTACTTTTTGGTATAAAAGACCCTACTCCAATGCCATCAAACACATCAAATTACCAACATCCCTTGATCTAGAACTTTCAACTTGAAAATGTTGAACTTCTCGTACCAGCCCATTGACCTGCACAACTTCTAACTTCTTACCCTTTCTCGACCAACTTTTGCCTTCTTTTGAATTTACAAAACCCCTATTTTTCAATTGTCTTCCGATATCATATGATGGGCCAATCTGTAGGATTGATTGCTCTTTTGCTTGGAATTTGGATAAAAGGAAAGGTCATAACTTTACGTCAATTACCAGGAGTTGGAGTATGATTATGTGAAGTGGGACAAGACTTGTCAAAGGAAAGACAACAAGGTAACTTGCTTTTTGATACACAAGACAAAAGCAACACATTTGAATTGTGTAGATCAACAATGCATGGGACAGGGGCTCAGATACTATAAAGGAAGTGTAGCATTGTGAGTCATTGATGCCGTGTTGACGTTATTGGAGTGCCAGGCAAGACTTAAGAAATCTTTTGTGTAATAACATTAATATCATACAATACACCAGGCATGGAACAACAATAGTGGCCGGAGATTCAAAATTTCATTGGGCTTTAGAACTCAACTTTTCAATCATTTTAGGACCAAAAGTGAGTCAGTGTTGCTCCCTTATAAGAAGGTGAATAAAGCAAGTCTTCTGTTCCTTGGAACCAAAATATTCCCACACACAACTGTCTCAAATTTGTTCTCATCTCGAAATACTTTAAATTTTCAAAAATTATTCATATCACCTGCAAGTCAACTACTGAAAATGGTTTGGGTTCAGAGGAAGCTACATGTCACTGAGGTTCACTTTTGTATATGTCGCAGGGGTGGGATTTACAATGCAACCCGTCACCACTTTGTTCAGAGAGGAGGTAATGTAAGACCAATTATAATGCGGGTAGAACAATCCATAGACCAGTCAATTCCAAGCTGAAGTTATGTGATAGGGTCTGGGGTTGCAACTGTAGATACATGGTGCATGATTTAGCGGATTCCTGTCTTTGTTGCATTACGCGGGGAGTTGTCCTACTGGTACTATGAATATAAAAAAGTTACTGGTAGTTGAGTGTTGTCAAAGTGGACAAATAAGAGACTACTTATCAACATCACAAAGCAAAGACCATGGATTAAGTGGTATTGAGGAAGTGAAAAGTAAAATTATAGGACCTCAGTCATGCCAAACTCATCACCTAAAGACTAAGCCACATGAACATCGTATGCCTTGCAATTTGAATGGAATGTATTTGGCAGATAATGACCACAACTTGGCCAATGGTGACAATTTGCGTAGGTGAGTGTCTCTCTATGGCTGCTTTTGTCAGGTTCCACTTCCGTGTCCTTTCAGGCAAGCTGATTCAATCCGTTTTCTAAGCTTGGTGGTGACAGGATTGCGGGAATTTGTGAACTCGGTGGATGTCACCTCCCAGGAGCCTAACTATACTAAGTCACTGAAGCGTTTGATAATGGAAAACATGGAAGAAAATGATTGGGCGGAGGTTATCACTTTCTTCACTGACCTACAAGCTGGGTATGAAAGTTTCCCTAATTTGGTCCAGTTACACTGTGAAAATAATGTGTTTCTCCCCAGCGAAAAATGATTGCATTTTTGGAAAAATGATTGACAAAAAATTGTACCTGGAATTGTGGGCCCAGTTGTGGCCCAAAACGCTTGGAAAAAGATCTGGAGAGAGATACAACGCTCTTTGTCCTGCAACGTTTTTTTGGGGTTGCTTAAAGCCTCATACTTGGCATGAACCCAGCAAGCAATTTTTAATGTTTTTACCAGCTTTTTCCCTCTCAAAGAAGTCCAAAAAATCCGGAAAAATCAGGAGAGATCAGAAATCCCCTTTGTGATGTGTGGTGTTTTTTTTGGATTTTTTGATGCCTTTGTCTTGGATACATGCAGGTTAGAACATTAAAAGTCTGCCAAATAAAGTTCAAATGCATTTTGGTTCACAGGGGCATCAAAATTCCACACACTGTCTCCAAACCATGTACAGATGATCTTGCATCCTTTGGTGTGCTACAAAAATTTTTTTTGGTGGTTTTGGAGCCTTGTACATATGGCAGTAGCGTTTAAGTACCTAAAATTACACGCATGTGATGACTTGCATACTGAGCCAGAAAAATTCTGAAAAAAACGTTCAACAAAGGGGATATTGTCCTCCACTTGTAATTTTTTTTTCAGATTTTTCTTGGCAATATTGAAGGGTGAATTCAGTGCTTTGGTGCCGCATATTTATGTGTTGTTCCACAAAAATTTTGAACATCACCAAACTGAGTGCTAGAATTTTTTTACAATGACCAAAATCTCTCAACTGGAAGAAAATAGCACATTTTGCCTTACCAGATTTTTTCAGATTTTTTGGGCCAATATCAAGCAAGGCATTTTAAATGCTAGAATCAATCATTTTTCGCCATGGAAAAACACATTATTTTTGCAGTGTTAGTTAACACAGTTGGGTAATGCACACTTGGTGTAAAATTGTTATAGACAACTTGTTGTAGTTTTATTGCAAAACATGGGCCAAGCAAAAATCAAAATAGTACAATGTTGCTGGGTGTGGGGCAAGAGATGATTGAAATAGTAAATTGCTTGGTTGAAGGGTGTTGGGGTTGAGAATGGAGCTTAAACTATGTGAGCTATGGTCTTGAACATGTCTTGTGAAGTTACGCCTTGTTATGGTCTCTCCTGGGAAGCTAAAAATACATACATACATATGTTGAGTTGGAGATGCAAATAGTTAAATGAGGCTTCTTAGTTCTTTTGGATCTGGGCTTTCCAGAACTTATTGTAAAAACAGTCACCAGTACTTTCAAGAGCAGGGAAACAAGGTGCGGTTGTTTACTGGCTTGTTGTCACATTTCACCGTGGCGGGCATGCCCACATGTTCTCTAGTCTATTCAAATTGATGGTTTACCTCTTGCTCAGGAAGAGAATGTTTGTAAAGAAATCATCTAGTTGATGAACTTTCAAAGCTCCCAGTTGATTGACTCCAAGTGCCTGATAGCATTCAGTCTTGCTTCTGGCGTTCAAAGATTTTGAATCGCCCTTCAGTTACTTATCAAAGTCTTTTGAGATGTCTCCTGCTTCAATTTCTGTTTCGTGCAGTATCAATTGGTTCGAAGACATATATCACTCAGTTTGTAACATACACGTTATACTCCGAACACTGGTCTCTCAAAGCAACCAATATTTTAGTCTGATATCATCATCAAAAACCATCTTATTTGCCGCCTTGGGAAATGTGTGATCAGATGAAGAGTTGAATTCAGTATATCTGGACTCCGGTAGCTAACTTTTGGCTTCTTGCAAGGAAGATAAAGAGCCTTTCTGGTGTGTCTGATACTCTAGCAGTATCTATATATGCAAACAGTTTGCCAGTCTTCCTCTGTTTGAGGAATACTTGAGCAATACATGATGATTATCCCTGAGGCAGGAGTGATTTCAGTTGGAAGTGCTCTCCTCAATTGAACGGAAAAAAGACTATGAAAAGTCAAATATCATTTCATTTGAAAAGTTGAATCGAGGACCCTGCAATCAGGGCAAGATACAACTTTGGTGTAGCTCCAGTGGCAGGAGTTTACTTTCCACAAGATAAAAACGCTTTCTCGAGGGTATGATACTCTAGCTACGCACAGTGAATATCTTCAAATCTTCTGATTCCCAAAGACACTTGTAGATAGGGTATTTGTTTCAGTGGGTTGAGGAACTTTTGCAACGATTGACATCAGATCTTGTCACACAAAGATATTTCTCTCAAATCTCAGAGCGAGTCTAACTTACATCAAGGTTCACTGAGGCTCTCATCATTTTGGAAACCGGGTCAACTGGGCACGTTTTAGGAGTTTAGTAACAAACAATAACGAGTTATCAATAAAGCAGACCCAAAATGAATAACAAAAAACCAATACATGTATATTTTTTTCAGAAACGATTGACAGTTGAGAGAAGATAAAAACTGTTTTACAAAAAATGATAAAGACAAGGATTGTACGTGAAGAAGTTGATAAGGCAGTTTGAACAAGATATTCATCTAGAGAGAAATTGATTACAATTTTTATCATCCTGGTGCATTCCTTCACCACCAGGACCTACGGCGTAGTCATCTTGCTCTTCCATAAGTGAACGAGCAAAGACGGAAGGATCCGCTAATTCTCATGTCCAAAGATCATAGACATGGAGGAATAGAGAAAATGAGAGGATGTGAAATAGTCAAGATCAAACTATACATGATGAAGAAATGGAAAGAAATCAGTACACAACTCATAAGAATGAAAGGAAAGAAGTGCTCACCTCAATTCAATGGAACAAAGCCCAAAATGTTTTCATCTACATTCACCGCACAAAATTGAGCTGTGATTGAAATCGAGCAAAATCAAACAAATCAGTAAATGATCAAATGAGAAGAGGAAGGGAAAGACAAGGAGAAGGAGAAGGAGAAGGAGAAGGAGACATACATGGTGAAGAGAACAAAGCCCAAAATGTTTTCATCTACATTCACCGCACAAAATTGAGCTGTGATTGAAATCGAGCAAAATCAAACAAATCAGTAAATGATCAAATGAGAAGAGGAAGGGAAAGACAAGGAGAAGGAGAAGGAGAAGGAGAAGGAGACATACATGGTGAAGAGGTAGTGTCTGAGAGGTCGAATAGAACAAAGGGCCTCGATACTTCGACTTCAGATGATTCAGAGACCTCGAATAATTGAATCGGGGGTACATATTCTCTAAGACGAGGCTCATAGATAGTACGAAGAAAGTCGGGGTCCTGCATGGGAAAAGGTGGTGGTAAGTTGGTCAAAGGAGGTTCAGTAGGACGAGTAACGTTAATCAAAGGAGCCCATAAACAAGCGATAGGTGGAGAGATGGCAGGATAAAATCGATGGAGAGGAATGTCGAGATCTTGGTTACGAGAGCGACGATCCATCATCCAGGATAAGAAATCGATGAAGGAAGAGTAGAGAAAGTAGAAGAGAGGAAAGGTGAAGGTGGTAAAGATAATGTCGAAGACAAAGACGGTGAAGAAGTTGGTGACCGGATGAAGTTCGAGATGACCAAAGTTTAATAAGGCGGCGTGAAGACAGAAGGCAACGACCAAATAGAATGGAAAAGCGAGAAGACTATCACGAAAGGAAATCTTTTTAAACTGGGGAAGAGACATTTTTGAAATCGGAGAAGTTTGTTAAGTGAGATTGGAAGTGAAAGGTAAAGAAAAGTGAAAGGGGGATTGGAGGAATGGAATCGGAAGCTCGTGGTACGGATGATGAAGTGAAATTCGGATCGCTCTGAAAGATGAGCGGTATTTATATGGCTCAGATACTGAGTTGCCGGATCAGCTTCAACACGCGTCACGTGAGTCATTATTTTTGTTTGGATCATAAAGCTTATATACACGCAAAGAAATACATATGTACTGATTGACGCGAGCTGATCAGTCTGTGTCGGATAGAAAGATAATAATGTGATAAAGGTGATATAGTTGCCCCTTCTCTACCTCAATTGTTGATACCCACCTCCAGCTGGCGTCAATCCACTCTATGCATGAATTTTGATAATTCAAACTCTTTGAGTTCCAAGGTTGAAAAACACGCTTCCCTCAAGACCGAATGGATTATTTAACTAACGTGTCCATTCACTAATTTGGATCGTGGAGCTTTCATAATACTCCCATGACGATTGACCGAGCGTTCTAGTACTACCTGCCTCTATCTGCAGCTGGGACCTTTTTTCTGGTGAATCTTTCAAGGGAAGACATGCAAAGAGATATTTCTCTCTCAATCTTCAAACTCAACTCGTGTTCCGATCATCAAAATCATCTCCGATTCTCACAGGTCCGATAGCTTTTCATTGATTTCTCAAAGAGCTGAATAAATGTCAGGTAGCTAGGCTAAAAATCTATTTTGCTTCTCATTTTTCAATGCTCCTCTTTCATATCGTAGATCGCGCTTCATTCAGCTTCATATCCACAAGGAGATTCACTGAATAGTTCAAAATCCGAAGATTACGCCAAAAGCACCATACCTTTTACTCCAGCAAAGCTTAAGCATCTCAGCAGTAAATGGTATACATCCGGGATCCGCAATGCTTGATCACTATAACTCTCTCTGTTTTTTTGATAAAACAAATGATGAAAAATCAACCATATAGGTGAGGAACTGTGCATGTGTCGCTCTTGGATCTGCCGACTTGGTCAGATGGCTGGCCCTCAAGTATTCCATGGTAACAAGTAGTTGGGATTGAAAGGGGCAAGGAGTCATTCATTAAAGTATAAAAATAATAGCCCTTGCTTCAACTGAAACTTATTCTTTACAATTGGTTTGTATATGATTATCGGTCAGACTTATCATTCAAGACCACATTACAAAAACAACAGGTGCGGAGGCAGGAGGGAATTTGCTTATATATATATATATATAAAGTTCATATCCAAGTTAACTTTCACAACACGATTAAATTCGCTACATTCACTATCCCCTCTTCTCAGCCAGAGAAGCTTTCCATTATTGATTGGAGTTGTCATATGCTTTTCATAACGGAGCGTTCCATCGTAACACTAAACAGCTAGGTAGGAATACCCGGAGATATTTGTTCAAGGTACAACTGTGTCGTATCTTCACCCCATCAGGAACCCATAAGAGATAATCTTATCTATAAGCACTGGAAAAGATTCAGAGGTCCTGAACATTAGATTTTTCCCCTGGGTTTCTGTCACGTAGCGAGTCTTCATATACCAATTGATTATTTTAGATGATTTTTTCTGACACGAGATGTTATTCATCAGATCTGTAAAATTACTCGACAAGAAATAAACTCAAAGCCTTTCTTGACAACTTAAGACTTTCTTTTCAAACTTCTTGGCTTTAGTAGTCTGATATTGCCTTTTGGAGAACAAGATGGTAAAGTTTTAAAACCTTAGTCTTAGTTTGAAGGTCTACATTGAACAAAAACTGGGAAAAACATTTATGTCTTAAAAGAGTTTCCCATTATTTTTGGAGAAATTTACGATTTGTGGGATCTTCTGAGGTTCTGAGTCGGAGTTTCTTGTGGCATTTCTGGTGGTGCAAAATCTGTTTATATGCTCAAAGCTAATCAACTGCAATGGATCGATTTGATCTCAGAGTCCAGTCCTGTATTTTGTATTTATACCAAACTTCCAAACTGAGACTGGAGGAGGAAGTTCTAAATTGTGTATGTCTTAAACATCATGGGATCTTTTGAGTTTCTGAGTGGGAGTTTCTTGTGGCAGTTTTGGTGGTGTAAATAAGCGTTTATATCCTCAAAGCTAGTCAATTTCAATGTATCGATTTGATCTCAGAGTCCAGTCCGGTACAGTCAACTCCCTCTAATTACATACAGTTTGGCGGGTGGTTTTCTCATGCACTTAAAGGAATATGCACTTATAGAGCACTCTTCAGTGTACTGAATACGATGTTGATGAAGTCGTATGATTTCTACAGGCAGCTCAGCGAGTCTAGTAACAAAAATTGACTTTTGTTGATCAGACTCACGTCGAGTCATGATAATTGAGATCACTGTGATCTTCTCATCTCAAGAACTCCAAAAAGAAGGCAAGATATTTCAAAGCTTCAAGATCTGCCTTGATCCGGAATGGTCATATATTGTATTTTAGCACAGCTCAGTTATGCATCAAAGAAGTATAAGTCTCGTGGGATTAACAATCCTAGTGATCATTGCTTGTAAGGAATTGTTCGGTTTGAAGTGGCTGGTTTGTGAGTTTCGACTGGAATATCTCGCACTGAGTCTCTCGTTCTCCGAGATATCTGCATTATATCCGATTCACAGATGATTGAAGAGCCCTACGCTAGATGAGTAGGACAATGATTTGTTTGTTGCCCTCTCTCATCGACAAGGTATACACGAGTCTAAGAGGAAGTAAAGGATTTTCCGCCCAGATTTCCGATCACACGGAGTCCAAATTCTGTTTGCTATTATCTCGGAGCTTTCTTCTTATTGATGCGTATTCAGGCGTAGTTATGATTTATCACACGGAAACAATCCAATATGCGATCAAGAGTAGTACGAATGAATCAAAAGTTGATTGATAGCCTTAAGCTGAACCTCACAGCTCTTTATTGAAATCCTTCCATCTTCTCTTGGGATGCGTTAGACATACGTCATTGAAGATGGGTAATGATTTGTTTTGTTATTAAAACTGCATGGATTGAGGCTACTTGAGATGATATGGATTGTTTATAAGAGATGTAATAAGGGGTTCGTTAAACTTGAGAAGTAATCCTGAATCTAAAATACCAAAAGGGTGAATGGATCCAGATGAATGTTAAAATTTGAATGTTTGTTTAAGTAAGTAGTACTTAAAGCTTTTGATGACCATTCAAAAGAAATACCAGCTCAGCAGATTATCATTCAGTAGACTACATAGCACTTCATCAACCAACCAATCAATCAAGTAAGATGCCAAAATCAAATCAAACCACCAATTCACTCAAACCTGGTTTCTCAACTGGTGGTTCATTTCAAGCTTGTAAGTCGATATCCTCGTTCAACTCATCGTCCCATAATATACTGACCCAATCTCTTTCATGGGGAGCTTAGTGGCAGTCGAATCAATCGAATCAGATTCAGAAACTGATTCACAAACCACTCCGATCATTCCATCACATCAAACACCTACTGCCATCTCAACTTCCAATAAAAAGGGACGCGCCAAACAACCCTGCTCGTGATCGAGCTCGTAAATCGGCTGGTACTTCTACTTTATCTGGTCCAACTGAACTTTCAACTTCTCTTGTGACTTTAATCAATGGTACAACACTTCGATCAGGTAGAACTATCCTTACCCCCACGATTTCTGAAATTTCACCCCCTCCTACAAAACAATCGAATCACTTCATGAAGATCCAAAATCCGAACCAGTCGAACCACTTCGAACACCATCACCTCCACCTCCATTCCCACCACCAGAAATTCAAAGCCTTACGAGCTCTAGCTCAGTGAGTATGGTCAATATAGTTTATCTAGTTCTTCAAGTAGTACCGATCTAGATGATGAAGAAGACGATTACGAAGAAAGTGCGCCTTCAAGAGCAGGAGAAGGTCCAGAAGATTTAAAAGCACATCAATCAGAACGAGATTCGACTCTGGTAATTGATCAAGCTGAAAAATGGAATCAAATCTATGATCCAAACTCGGAAGAGACTCCCAAAACTCTTACGATGGCAATGCCAAGTACGATGCAACCTGAACAAAATCTCTCTCATAAACGTCAAAAAACATCCGAGTCATCTCTCTTGGCCACACCAACAGGTGTAGCAAATGTCGCACAATATAGAGCCGATCATAATCCCACAAAGAAATGGCAAGCAGTCTTGACTCGAGTAATTATGAAGTCTAGTCATGGTAGGAATCTTTGTAGGTGAGTACCCATCAATCAAACTATACGCCTCGTTTGGTTTTTTGAAAATGGTTAATATAATACTGATACGTGAAGATCTTTATGAAACTTGATAGGTCCAATAGCCATGGGACACGTCTATCTCATCGTCTTGGTCTTCATATGCCAATTCTCAGTATTTAGAGAAGTGACCAACTTATTTCAAGTAGGATATAAAGCCTAAGCCAAAAAACAGGCGATCATGTTGGCTAGTGGACATCGAATCAGTGCAGCTTCAATCGAACGTAAACGGATTAAAGATATCGATCATAACCGATGAATCAACGTGATGTCTTGGTAAGATTCAACCGATATCTTCCAATCTACTTCTCACATTCATCAATCTTTTATTCACATCATTGTGAAAACTTTTGTAGGTATTTCGTTTGTGCCGTGAATTATGTCTTATATGGAGAATCGATAATTTATTATTCCAAACACATCGTTTTCATTGATGCATATGTACTTATTTACCTACTTAAATCGATGGTTTACCTCTAACTCAGTATGAGAATGTTTGCAAAGAAATTATCCAGTTGATGAACTTTCAAAGCTCCCAATTGGTTGACTCCAAGTGCCTGATAGCATTCAGTCTCGCTTGTGGCGTTCAAAGACCTTGAATCGCTCCTCATTTAATCGCAGTCTTTTAAGATGCCTCCTGCTTCAATTCCTATTTCATGCAGTATCAACCGTCTCAAGTAAAGGTTCGAAGGCTTATATCAATTAGTTTGTAACCTACACGTTATACTCTGAACACTGATGTCTCAAAATGACCAATATTTTTGCTAAGACTGTATCTAACCCTAGATCAACAAGGCTGACTGGATCTTTGTCATTCTGACCTGCTTGAGGGTCTGAACTGGAAAGAAAAGGCTTGTTCCCGGGAAATTCCACAAGTACAGCCGCCTGCTCCTCAGCCTGCCATAAGGCGAGGTTCTTGGTATGGTTATTGGAGTTGTAATGTTTTCTGCATGGATGAAATTTTCATGGCCGATCTAGCAGGACAAGCCCAACAAATGAAAGACAGTTTGCCATTTTTTGACCAGTGAATTTAAAGAAACCCCTCAAGATTTATTTTGATTAGCCTACAATACTTTGTGGAAAATTTGGATATCTTCACATTATTTGTTTGAAATCTTAAGAGCCTACATTCATAGGAAGCAAAATGACAGAAGTCAAGAGGACTCAAGTGCTTGATCACTCTGACTTGTTGATATTTGTGACTAGCTTGTATAACTTATGTTGACAATGAAGTGGGCTAGAAAAGTATGCCTCCATGATGGCTATGACAGGCTTTTGAAAACTATGAGGCCAAAAGCAATTTTTTTTTACAAATTATACCCTTAATTTGATGTTTATGACGGGTTTTTGAAGATTATGATGTTAAAAACAATAAAGAAAAATCGAAACCATGTTGAATGCTTTCGTAAAAATCACTACTTGCTCTTTCATCTGATTATAGCCCTTGCTCTGTGTAGAATAGACAACAATAAATCGAGATCTGGTATGTGTTTGTACCATTTCACCCGTTCAAACACTATCAGAATCTTTTAAAGGCAAGCTAGAATCATAGACAGCTTAACATTAGCTTGACTTGCCACCAAAACTTGTGCTCAAAGGTTCAACGAAGTTCTGACCTCGCATGCGTAGTTTTCTGATTCATCGGCGTGTGCATAGTGCAAAAGCTGTGCAAGATGAAGCCAACCTTCGCAAGCGCAGAATTTGGTCCTGGGTGAAATGTGTGACTTCAGAAGTTGTAATTTTCATACAATCTTTTGGCTGTGTCTTCGCAGTCTTTGGCTCGCAGGCTCAGCTGCCAAGGAAATTATGAAAAGCTTGCCATCTCTTGATATCGGAGGCTTTCATTCCATTTTTTGCATACATATGATTATTGAAGTGATTTTCCAACTTACCAACAATTCTTGAAATATATTTCAACGTTTATTAAGTAACCATGAAAGGATCGAATAGACTGATTCTGACTTGTACACATATCATGTTACAATGGTGGTATCTTCTTACCCCCGCATCTGCCGTTAACCCGTTTGACTTTGGAGAGGACCCAGGTTTGGTTGCCGTAGGTAAGTATCTGTCTTCTCAAGATTCAGGACCACTTTAACTAACGAGACAAAATCTGTGGCATAATTGGGATATCATTCGTAAATGTATACACAAAAGAGTATCATAAAGATTGGTATATCTCACCTGGCTCAACTCAACCAAGCTCAAAGGATCATCTTATAAAGTATCTAGATTTACCCCTAGACCATAGGAAGAATTCTGCGCCCTTCTTCCTCTGTCCTCCTTCAACTGAGCTTCCACCTAGTACGTCATATTTCCAAAAAGTCAAAACCATACCAGATAATGTAACTAATCAAACCGAAATACAGATACTCATGGTCTAGAATCCCTAAAGCTAATGAATAAAATGTTACAATCCAACATAGAATCTTGGCCAGAATACATTCAAGAAATTTTAAAGACAAATCCATCAAGAACTATTAAGAATTTTTGGGGATTCGTATTTGAAATTTCTGATTTGATGACCACACCAATTCTTCAAAAAACTTTTTTTATTTTACATAAAGAACAAGGAATATTTCAAGAGTTAGATAAAGAGGTATGGGGAAATGTTTTTCCAAGTCTACTTATCAGGTATGAAGATAAGATGATAGAACATACACCACGGGGCTGATGGCACGTGACACTCACGTGAGATTTGACTCTGCCATTGAAATACGTGCTGTCTACATTGTCATACCCGACATGAGTTACATGTGCCAGCCAGTCTGGCCTTCACCCAATCTGATCACCTTGCTACAACATGATAACTCACCTGATGAGCGGGTGAGTCGTGTCATATTGTGAGTCATCTCACATCATAACAAGGTGAGGTGGCTCACTCAATGAACAGCGTGGAAATCAAAACCTCTCAACAACTCTCTTTTTATACTCGAGATCTCTCCTTTACACTTATGCTGGGTTCAGGCTGTTCTAGACAAATGAGGGGCAGCGTGTCAAGGATAACTTAGTTAGCGCGTCTTCTGGGTTCTCATCAAGTTAATTCAATTTCTTTATGAAGGATTTCTTAGTTATATTACATAAATTTTAAATTTGACAATCGGATCAATTACAAAACAAAGAGAAGAAAAAAATCAAAAAAGAAAAAGAAAAACAGGATATACTAACACCCAAGCTAGAATCAGCAGCTAAGAGAATCAACTAAAATGAATGAATGAGTCAAAGAAATCCAAAAAATAACAACAGAGAATTAGGACGACTTACTAGTTGATGTCAGTTGGTGTATTAAACAGCGGATAATTAGGTCAATTTAAAACAACTTAGAAGTGAAAAGGTATCAAAGAAGGGGAGAAATAAAAGGTGGTGAACGCTTGTTAGACTGAAAGAAGGGAAGATTGATAAGAGAGAGAGAAGAACCTTACTTGGAGTGAGAAGGAAAGGGATCGATTTGGGTGGGAAGAAGGCTAAGAAACCTAGTGATACTACATAGGAAAAAAATATGGGAAGTTGTTTGGTGGATGAGAAAAATTAGAAGAAGAAAAAAGAAAGAAAAATACCTGCAACTAGAAAAATCGAATTTAAGAATTACATCAACATTTGGTTGAGAGGAGTCTAGAGTAAAGAAGCTAAGAGGTAGATGAGTCAACAAGAATAGAAGATTAGTTAGTATGTGAAACCCATTAGGAAGGAGAAGACAGATGAAAGAAGGAAACAGAAATGACTTACACATTGGGAATCGAGATCGAATTGAACTGTGACTTTGAGAACAACCCAAAAGAGGGAGAAGAATGAAATCAATCAGTAGAAGCTATCAGGATGAACGGGAAAGAAACAAGAAGATACTTCAAAATACTTTCTAAAAAACCAAATAATGAAAACTAGAAGACAAACCAGGCTCACAGGAAAAGGGATTGATTCAAGCTGATAGCACGAGTATCCTAGTTAGAATAAGAGCAAAAGAAGATTTCTTTTAGTGGGTGAGTTATTAGTTACAAGGAAAAGAAGCAAAAGATAAGAGAAAAAAAGGACTTACTTTGTTAAAGAGTCGAGTGTAGTGGTGTTGAAGTTATTTAATTTTAGTTGAAGTCGGGTGAAAAGGGTTGATGTCTCAATTTTTGATTTTTTTAAAGTCATCTATACATATAAGGCCAGTACCCGAGTGTGGGGGGCTCAGGGCCGGGCTGAGTACGGTTCCTGGGTTCAAACCCGGTTAAGTTCGTACCTTTTGTATTGTTTCAAAAAGATTGAGTGTGTGCTGATGGATGGGAGGTTGTGCTGAACATCCCAGCTCACATGCTGAGCACCTGGCTGATAGGCCAAGCTCACATGCATCAGCTCACCCGCTGATAGGCTGGTGCATCACATTGGCATAATGTGAGCTTGCTGCTCACAGCAAGCTCATGTGTAGAATGGGTGAGAAGCTTGGGTGAGGGCCACGTAGCCGCACTCACGCTGCTTTCACCTGCTCTACACAACCACTCGGCGTGATCATACCCAACTTACATTTCACGTGGTCCCAGTTCAAAGTTGCCCCGTGGTGTATTCGTTTACTTGAACATGAAGAGTAAGTTGAGATAATTAGAATCCAGACATACTATTCTCTATGTATGGTGTTAATCGTGTTTCATTTTCACTGGGTCTTATAGTAAGCCTAAAAAGGTCATGAATATCTTCACAAGAGATGAACAAGAAAAGTTAGGAGAATATGGAATCCGACTGGAGAAAACGTGGAGTCAAGATGATCAGGTAGAGCTCTATAAAGCATGGGGTTCACGTCAGTTCTCCATTCTTATGATCTTTGCCCATCAAAACGCTCAAAACTCACACCATCTGATTCTGAATGATAGATATGAGGTTGTACATGTCTGTGAAAGGTATTGTTAAGGGAATTCTTGAGTCTCAAGCAATTCAGATCATCTGGTTGTACAAAGACACATTCATGGCCTTGGACGAGATGGAAGTGATGGTCCAGAATTCATTGAGTAAGGAATACAAAGATCTCACCCAAGAACTGGTTACATCTATCAAATCATTAGATGAAGAGTGAGTCTCTTGAAATGAAGAATCTCCTCAAAGCTAAACAGTAGAGTTTTTTTTAGAGTTGATTGATTGAAAACTTTTTGGTTTTGTAGTTTCGATTCATTAGAGAAACTTTGCGATAGTCAAAGACAAATGAATTATGGGATTTACGATCCACTGAACGATGAATCGATTTCCGACGAAGTGGATGGGATAATCTTTTGGGTAAAACGTAAGTCATCATAAATAAATTGAAATTCTTGAATCCAGATCTGATCATACCTTTCAATCCCAATGTGACCAAAAAAACAGACATGCCATTCTATCTCGAAATGATTTCAACAGAAGAGACTCGCAAGTCTCAAAGCAATCTATCAATCTTAATTGAAGAAACTGATGAAAACCTCTTAGACTCTATCATGGAAGAATTCTTGATAACCTCAAAACGCTCAAACGATCAAAAGAATGTGATTTTCAGGTTCCTAGAGTTTGCTTTAACACAATCAGATGATGAAGATTTGAATTCAAACTTACGAGGAGCGCTGGGGGTGATGCTTAAAGAAGCTGAACAGGCTAGGCATGCCTAAGAAATCTGAATAATGGGGTACTATGTCTAATTTATGGTTAAACACAGTACATTTTATTTACTTTATAGCTAGGCATAGGCTAGATTTTACAATCGCATCTGTGAACTGACATGGATAGTATATTCCAATAAAGTACATTGTGCCAGTAGCACATTCACGCTCATTCTCTTTGTCTCCTTCTCACCTACCTTTCTTTTCTTTTCTTTTCATGTTATGAATCTTTGTCTATTTATCATCTGGAAGTCTTGCTCTGATATAAGCCAGTTTGTCAACAGATCATCTGGTTAAAGTTGGTAATCAAGTACTCAAATCAAAGCTTCTGAAGAATTTGTGTAAAAACTTGATGATCCTACTGGTCCAATAACTTTTTGACTGCCTCGGAATCCATCCAAAAACATGCCTGATTTCTATCAAACAATTTGAAACATAAAGTATGGTTTAAATTTCATTCAAACCCATCTGGTTTTGATGAATCTAATTTTCAGGATTTGTCCAAAGGAAAAAGACAAAAAGTATGGGTTAATTACGAGCTAAGACATGGGATTACACATGTAGATGTGACATATACACAGATCATTCAATTTTCAAGTCCAGCTGTATGTAATTTTGAAATGTGTACAAACTGAAAAAAGTTATGTAAAACCCACAAGGCAGCCTTAACCAAAATTAATTCAGACTCTAAGAAATCAACTTGACGAAAAAAAAGTTAACCACAAGACCAAGACCCAAACCACGTATTCAATTTCCAAGACTGATATTTAAAACTCAAAATTTGAAGATTCATTATTATGGGTGATCCATTCTTTCAATCAGATTCAGATCCCAACAAACGAAAAAGACCCAGAAGAACTCAATCGAAACCCAACCCGAAAACCTCAACCAAACCGAACCCCAAACCCGGCTCAAAACCAAACCGATCCACATCATTTAACGTAGATCAATCAAAGCAAAAACGGAAAAAGGTTATAGAAGATGACGTGATCGAATCAGAATCAGAAGGAAACCCATCAGATGATTTTGAACAAAATCATGATGATGGAATAGAAGAAGAAGAAGAAGAAGAGTTTGATGAAACACCGGCTCAGAAAAGGTTAAGATTAGCTCAAGATTATTTGAATGATCTTAAACAATCACAACTTCGTAAGACTCTTTTGGTTTATAAACTTAATCTTTTCTATTGATGTTGATTCTTGTTTTTTTTTGTTTTTTTGGTAGGTGAGGATGGAACGTTTGATGCTGCTGAAATTGATCAGGAAATTATTTCTTCTAGGTTACAACAAGATATTGTAAGTAGATTCATCTTTTATAAAAAAGAAAGAAATCAAACTATCCAAACCTTAACACGAAAACCCTCAACTTTAACTAATTTATTTTTTTGGATGATTATCCATAGGCAGAATCGAGTGGTAGGATTCATACTTTTTTAGGAGAAAGATTATCCAACAAATTAAACCCGATCACCGATTCATCATCATCAACAAGCACAAGCACAACAACAGGATCATATGAAGTATATAAAACTGGAAGAAATCATCATAGGTTACCTATCACCTGTATAAAATTAAGTAAAGATGGAAGCCGATTATTTGTAGCCGATAAACAAGGACAAATCATTCAATACGATAGTAGTTCGATTTGGAATACAAATTCAACCAGTTCAAATCCAATGATCCAAAAAAGATGTATAATGAAACCACATCTTCCTAAAAAACAAAGCGAGATTGAAAAGTTTAAGAAAAAACAAAGTTCTCAACATCATAAGACATTATCTAAGATTGAAGTAGGAGATCAAGATGGACATTTAGGTGAAGTTTTAACGATTGATGTTTCAGATGATGGGAAATTCTTGGCTAGTGCTGGTAAAGATAAGTTATTAGGGGTTTGGGATTTGACTGATTTGAAAGATAATGAAGGAAATATGAATGGAGCTTTTGGAGTTAGGAAATGGAAAGCTGGGATTCGAGGTCATAAAGATATCATTTCTGTAAGAGTCTTTTTCCGAAAAACAAGAGAGACAGAGAGATTTGAAAGCTAATGAATGAATTCTAATTTTGTTAGTCTATTTCATTTAGATCAGGTACATCTACACTTTATACAGCTTCATACGATCGAATGATCAAAGTCTATAATCTAGACAGTTTAACTTATTCAGAAACGCTGTTTGGACACCAAGATCAAATCCAATCGATCTCATCCTTGAATCAAGAAACCTTGGTTTCAGCGGGTGGACGAGATCGAACGTGTAGGTATTGGAAGATTCTAGATGAATCTCAATTAGTCTTTCGTGGTGGAGGAAATAGTAAATTGAGAGATTTGATTGATGGAGCTGGATTAGATCAAGATGAGGATGAAGATGAAGTGGATCTGGTTCAACAAAAGAAAAAGAAACTCGAAGATCAGTCTAGGTGTTTTGTTGAAGGATCTATTGATTGTGTTTGTATGATTGATGAAACAATGTTTTTAAGTGGAGGTGATAGTGGGTAAGTGAAACCGATAAGAAATTCTTTCCCCAAGCCTAAGACTGATTAGAAATTCTTCTCGATGAAATGTGTGTTTGTTTAGTTCGATCTCACTTTGGAGTACACATAAAAAGAAAGCAATCTTTACAGAATCATTAGCACATGGAACCGAAGAAGAAATTATCAATCAATCTACCCAAGAAAAGATTATTAAAGCAAGATGGATCACTTCGATTTCAAGTTTATCATTTAGTGATTTGTTTTGTTCAGGTTCTTGGGATGGAAATTTAAAGATTTGGAAACTAATCAAAGGTAAAGGAAAACATGAGATTAGAAAGTTTGAATTGATTAAATCTATTCCGATTGGAATTGGAATCATTAATAGTTTAGATTTCGTTTTTAAGAAATCAAAGGATACCAATGGGAATGGGAAAGAAGAAGTTGGAAAGTTGGGCATTGGGGTTGGGATTGGACAAGAACATAGGTTGGGTCGTTGGAAAAAGATTAAGGAAGCTAAGAATCATTGTTGTTTGGTGTTGATTGAAATCTGATCAATCAAATTGAAATACTATTGATGATCTCTTGACTTGGAATCTTTGTAAGAGTGATGATTCAGTTTTGGTGAGAGTTGGATGATTAAGATGATGAGTTGAATCATCTTGAATTGGATGGAGTGCTTATGTGATCATTTCAGTTCAATCAACTGAATCACTCATCCAGTTCGTATTCATCACGACTTGAAGTGGGTTTCCCAATTTTAAAATACACAATTGTAGATATATGCGCTATCTACTGTTCTCAACCATTGAACTTCATCAAATGGTCAAGAAGCAGCTTTTGATTAAATTCGATTTTCATACTTCAGTTTACCTTCTCATCACAACTCTTGCCTTGATTCATGTCATCTCATGATGGGTTTCGAGCGCGGTTTTCGAGTGGTCCGCTTGATGATTTCTTTTCTGAGTTTCTTACAAGGAGTGTTTAGGAACTCGTATCTTTCGTGATCTGTGACTCTGTTTCTTTCTTTGGGGTGGTTGTCAAGATCAACTTTGATGATGAGAATCGATTAAATTCAGGTTTAAGATCATGATGAAGATGATGAAAGTCGATTTGATTTAGATTACCGTAGTTAGTGAAACTCATCTTGGATCTGGTCAGAGTCTCTTATAAAAAGTGAGTCAGTTTCCAAAGCCAACATGGACTTTCATTCTTCTTTTGTTCTAGATTGTTTTTTTTGTTTTTTTTTTGTTGATGATTTGCTTATGATGATGGGAAGATTGGATGATAAAGAGAATGCTGAGATAGAAGCTCAACAGGTTAGTCCCCATTCATGTTGAATTGTATGTAAAGTGTGATGGATGAGTTTCGATTGAATTCTCATTTGGATCTTTTACATATTTACTTTGCCGTCATGATAAATACATAATCTCAGTTCTCACTTTTGAGCTTTAAAACCGACCGACATTCTTCAGAATCAGATCATCGTGGTCTTATATTCAGACGAGAAGGAGAACTAACATCACTTCAACATGAGATTCCATCAAATCAGATCTTACAATCAAAAGACCATCAAGTTCATCATCATATCAAATCAAGTCGTAGGTTGATCAGAAAGAAATTACCAACCAAACTTGATCTAAACTTGATCGAATCTGCAAACACTACAATTAGTTTATCACCACTCACCAATCAAGATCACAACTTGGCTTTAAACGATCAATCATTCACCATGGACATCACCTCTAGTAAATCCGACAAAAATGGTCCTGAATCCAACCGTCGAAGATCCATGTCAAATGTTAATGAACGCAATCCAACTCAATCCACTTCACTATTAACTTCTTCATCTGCTCAACTTCATTCTCATTTCAATCATCAATCTAATTACCGTCAAACTAGACATAATAGTATCAGTAACAGTTTACTACATCCTTCTAGTAATCTCAATCCTACTTATCATCTGACTAGCTCTAATTTAAATCAAAATAAGAATAGACCCAATCATCGATCCAATTCAGTCTCATCTGTGTCGACCAATTCTTCTACTTCTACTTTACCTACTACTCTCAATCAACACAATCGAAGAATGTCACCTTTGACTGAAAAAGCTGGTTTACCTAGTCCTTGCTTTGTTCATTCTCATTTAGATTCCAATTTCTGTGAGTCTCTCTTTTTGGCAATCTTGGTAGATTCGATTTGGATACTTATTCTGACCGTCTATATCTTCAATAATAGCTCTGCCTAATCATCAAGCACGTTCACCGCATCGAAAAGATTCACGATTCAGTAAACCATTCTCTTCGTCTTCAAATACTGTATCAGTACCTTCTATCAAACTTGAGGAACCAATCCCCCCCAAGCATCCACTACCCTCACCATCTGCTCATTCTTTATTATCTCCTAACACTCCACGCGCACACAATCGTCTCGAGTTAACAAATCATACAGCAGACCACGACGACGACGATGATGATGATGAAGACGACGACGATGAAGATGATGAAGGAGAACTGACAGAAGGGGAAGAGCATGAAAGCTTGACTCGTCAACTTGCTCAAACTGCCACTAGTGTAAGAGAGATGAGTAAAACTCTTGCTCGTGCTAGGATCAAGGGACATGTTCAATCAATCTTGATCATCACTAAAGCTAGAGATAATCATTTGATCAAGTTTAGTCTCTTTTCTTTCTTTCTTTGATTGCCCATCACACAGACTCATACCTAGTGTGTGCGTGTGTGTGTGTGTGATCAAACAGACTCACACGAGAATTAGCGATCTGGTTAATGGATGCCAAACCGTTTAGATCTGTATCACCTAATCATTCAGAACCTACTCAACTTGAACGAAAACCTTTGGTGGTCTATGTAGATTCACAATTAAAAAGATCTAAACGATTTGATTTAAATTCGATTAAAGTTCAATACCCTCATTTCTTTAATCCATTAAGATCTCGACATCCATTTCGTAAAAGGTTTTCTAGAGCTAATTCGGTATCTTCGAATTCAACCACTTCTTCTTCTGAAGATGTGAATCTTACTGCAGAAGAGGATGGAGGTCAATTAAGGTATTGGACAGCTGAGATGTGTAATAAATCACCTGAATTATTTGATTTTGTCATCACGGTAAGTGTTCTTGTTGAACAAATTTGAAAGTTTAGAGTTCATGAACTGATTATCATTTTGGGTTTCTTATTAGCTCGGTGGAGATGGGACTGTTTTATTTGCATCATGGTTATTTCAAAAAGTAGTACCTCCTATCATTCCATTCGCATTAGGATCATTAGGATTCTTAACGAATTTTGATTATTCACATTATCCTACAGTTTTAACTCAAGCTATGAGACATGGAGTTCGAGTGAATTTAAGAATGAGATTCAAATGTACAGTTTATAGAGCCAATGATCAAAATCGTAGAGCCATCAAGAGTGGTAAGACAGGACAAATCATGATGGAAAAGATTGGAAGAGATGGTTGGGAAGCATTAGAGAATGGAGATGAAAGGATGGAAAGATGTCAGAGAGGAATTTCAAAAATTTCGAATATGAATTTGAATGGAGATGAGAATGAAGATGAAGATGAAGATCAAAAAGAGAAGAAGAAGAAGACAAAGAAGGATAAACCGATCATGTGTTTTAGTACCAGACCTGAAGAAAGTTTTGAAGTGCTTAATGAACTTGTGGTGGATCGTGGACCTAGTCCTTATGTTAGCTTATTAGAATTATTTGGTGAGTCTTTTGATCTATCATTCAATTTTAAAATGTTATATATTTTAATTTGAAATTCTCGGTGGCTCTGGGTTGGTAGGTGATGATCATCATATGACGACAGTTCAAGCAGATGGTTTAACAGTCTCCACACCTACTGGTTCAACAGCTTACTCAGTTTAGTCACCTCTTTCTCTCTCTCTTTGTTCTCAAGTTGAATCCCTGATGAATGTTTGATTCAGTTATCGGCAGGTGGATCATTGGTTCATCCTGAAGTTCCGGCCTTATTGATCACACCTATTTGTCCTCATACATTGAGTTTTAGACCGATGTTGTTACCTGAAAGTATAGATTTAAGGATCTGTGTACCTTATAGTTCGAGATCAACTGCTTGGGCTTCTTTTGATGGTAGAGGTCGAATTGAATTAAGACGTGAGTATGATCATGGATTCCTATGGTACCAACACGATTAAACTAATGATTGATATTTGGATAATTTGTTTTGGGGGTGTGTGTGTGTCTTAGAGGGAGATCATATTAAAGTGACCGCATCAGCTTATCCATTTCCGACGGTTTGTGCTGATAATCAATCTACAGATTGGTTTCATGCGATTTCTAGAACCTTGAAATGGAATGAAAGAGAAAGACAAAAATCATTTGTGGTAGTTGAAGAAGATGGTGAGGTGAGAGGAGAGAAGAGTAGGCTTCAGAAAGGAAAGAAGGGGATGGAACCTGTTGGAAGTAAGAAGGTGGTTCTTCAAGGAAAAGGAAAGGAGCAAGTGGAGGAGTCAGAGGAAGAAGAAGAAGAGGATGAAGAGGAGGAGGAGGAAGAAGAAGAGTATGATATAGATGATTTGAATTCAGAGATTGAAAGTGCTTGTAAGATTACTTCTAATAACTCGTCTACTACTACATCACCCCAACCCAACCAATCACAACATCCTAGAATCAATCATCATCCATGTTCTTCAACAACATCAACAACAGTATCAGCATCAGGATCATCATCATCCAAAGCCGAATTCATGTTGAAGAGTGGAGGAACCAAAGGGTTGAAAGAAGTGATTCAAAACCAACAAGGTTTGATTAGAAGATTAAGTGATGTGAAGGTGAAGATGAAAGTAAAGGAAAATAAACGAGAGATGATGATGAATAGACCGGATGGATCATCATCGAGAAGTCATGATGATGGGTTTGGAAAGAAGATGGGGATGAGAGAAACGGAGATGGTGGGAGTTAAAACTTTTGCGGTTTGGGGACATGATCAAAGTTCGGATGCTTCGATGAGTGATAATGAATTGAATGAATGAAAAACTTTAATTTTTTTGATGATTGGAAAGTATAGGATTTGAGAGGATTTGTTTGATTTTTTTTGGTTTTCAATTGGTTTGAATTTGTTGTTTTTTGATTTTTTTGTTTGGGTTTGGTTAAGATAGAAAGAAAGGTGATTCTTTTTGAGAGAAAGAGAGAGAGAAGAAGGAGAGGGAGTAGGAGTAGGAGTAGGAGTAGGAGTAGGAGTAGGAGTAGGAGTAGGAGTAGGAGTAGGAGTAGGAATGAATGAATTTAATTTTGTAAAGAACAAATGATTTTTTGTTGGTTTCTATATAATTAATTATTATATGATTATATATATATATATATATATATAGAATTGAAATCTTATATGTATGTGGATTGTGAAAAACAAAAAACAAAAAAGTAGTCAATGAAGAGGCAAGTTTTGTAAAATGTTTTTGAATGATTGGTCATGATGACATTGATGGAAATGTGTGATTGGTTTTGGTTCTATGGGTTTTTTTTTCATGAAAATCATTCCAGTTTTTTATGATTAGTCTTTTTTTCAATAAATTTTAAAAGCATATATTTTAACTATGTATATGAATAAGTCAATTATTTGAGAATTTTTGGGTTTGAGGTTTTATTATATATTCTACAATGAGTATGTAGGTGGAAGTCATATATGGGTAAAGTATACTGGAAATTTGATCAGTTTACTTTTAGAAAACTTGTTTGATCGTGTGACAAATGTGAAATACTGAGGTGTGAAAGAATTCTAGTTAAAGGATTGAAGCTTTTGAAGTTTTTTTTTGCTGGAAGGCGATAATTGCTCAGGTTCAACTTGAAATTCAAGCCAGTTTTGGTTTGTTTTGTAAATATGTACACCTCCTGGATGAGAAGTCTTTCTGTTCAACGTAGCAAGAGAAAATTATGTTACCCATTTCCTTGGAATGAATGAGTTAGCTTGCTTTTGGATTCGTATTTTGAACTTTTAAGTAGTTCTATTAATGATAAACATTAACAACCGAAAGATGTTGCTGCTGGTTTTGCTCAATTCGATATCCAAAACTAACAACCTTTACATTGTTAATGCGAGTCAAGCTTATTATCTATGTGAGCTTATCCATACATTACGACGGATAGTCTTTTTTCCTTTTGTACGGCTGACTGCGAATACGAGCAGTGCTGCTGGCTATAAGCTTGAGTTATCGTTTGCTTTTGCTTTTGCTTCAAGTACTTTGCTTTTATATTTTTCCCAGCAATTTTTGTTGGCCTCAATGGCGAGATTCTCAGCGATTCATAATTCTCTTGTCTCAGCACAAAATGTCGACTGTCTGGATGAGCTTTAAATCACTTTATTATCTTGATGTCGCATGTCTTGAAATAATGATAAATTTCAAAAGCCTCTAGAAATGAAGCTGAAGACTGCAAACAAACAGCCGGTAGATGAAGCAATAGCACGACTTGAGCTTGCTTTTTCGTTTTCTTTCGTCTATAGTCACATCGCGAGGTGTTGGGATCAGCTTGGGCTTGAATCAATGGGTATAAAAAGACGACAAGATGACGGTGAGATTTGTTCTCCAGACAAGTCTTGTCCCAGCGCAATCTCCATCACGTTCACAACGTTCAACGCTCATAACGCAAATCCAAAGCAGAAACCTCAAGATAAATCTACCTGCAAACCTTTTTACGCTCTAAACACCCCTAATAACAACATGCACAATACGACTTTCAACGCGGCAGGTTCCGCTTCAGGTACGCAAGAGACATTGGCAACTGTCCAGGCTGACAAGTTTTCTGATTCGTCCGATGCTACTGGTGAGGATGGATTGTGGGGCTCTGAAGATGGTGACAATGTTGAGAAGACAGATCAAGATGCCAGTGGTTCCTTTCAGCCAGTACCTTTGGCGTTGCCCACCCGCTCTGCCCCTCCTCTTGCTCTACCGGGTCGCAACGTTATCCCACTCCCGGCACGAGCCACGCCAACGACAGACATTCCAGTTCATCCCACTCATAATCCCTCACAATCACAATTTACTCACCATCTACAATCTGACTTTATCCCTCCCGACACCAACTTAATCGTACCAGACATCCCTGTGCCATCCTCTAGCCAATATCCTAGCCATCCAGACCCAAACTTCTTTGACTACAGTGCGCCCTTCTATAACACATCCACTGACATTCCCGTTCCTCATCATCAACAGCAGGAGCACTTCGTAGACCCCGCTCCTCTCTCTACTGATTTTACTGGGGCTGATTCCCTGGATTGGATTTACGAATTCGCCATTCCCAATTGCATCAACCCCACAGGAGCACCAAGCAATGACATCCCTGTACCCCCCCTAACCCACTACAACCAAGAACCACCGCAATTCATTAACCCCGCTCATCTTCTGTTAAATCCAAATGGGGCTGGTTCCCCGAACTGGCCTGTCCCAGGAGCTGGACCTCCTGTCGCTTCTACCTCCCAACTGCCTGTCGCCTCTTCCTCCCGCAAGCGTGGTCACAAGGCCTCTGAAACCGAACTTGAACCTCAAACCAAGAAGGTACGGCAAAGAGATCCTGAGAAGCCCAAAATGCAAAAAGCGCCTTGTACTTGGCCCGGTTGTGGCAAGATGATCGTGATAAAGAATATGCAGAGACACATTGACGGGATGCATTTAGGTAAAAAGAAAGTCCAATGTAGGTACCCAGATTGTAGGAAAGTTCTAGCATGGGAAGGTGATCGTGCTAGACACTATAGAACTGTTCATCGCGGACAACCCCCGCCGCCTGACAAATCACCTTCCCCTGAAGGTACACCTCACCTAGATGGCCCACCTGCTCCCCAAGGTCCACTACCACCACCACCACCACCAGGAGCGAGCGGGATTGCTGCATGCTGAAAAAAATGATAAGTGTCTTTTTGATATTAGTTATGAAAGCTGGATTTCTTGTGAACATCTTGATGATTTGTAAATATTTATCTTATCAGGTTTTCAATTATTTTTCTTCTCTTTTTTTGGATTTTGCGCTATGATAATACAAGACAAGAACTTGAATCAAAAAAACCCCATTCAAAGTTGAGCTTTGAGATTGATCGTGAGTCGATTGAATTATTTCTTTTAGTTTACTATAACCTAAGCCTTGACTTTTTTGTTCTTGATTTCATTTGAATGAATCTTTTTTTGTGGAATCTTGAGCTGGAAATCAACCCGAACCACCTGGCAGTTAGTTGTTTTGAACGGCGAGTTAAATTCCAATCATGATTGTATTATTACAATGATCTTCATACTGATTAGAATCGTTTCTTTCCGAGCTGTTTCTACAAGAAACAGCTCATTATGGCCAGACTCGAAATGATCATTATCGATACTTCGAGATATTGCGATATTTTACAGAGACCTCCTTTTACAGGAATATATCTCTGCAAAAAAATGTATTTCATGTCTGTCTTCATTTCTACTGAGAGGAATTTTTTGATATCAATAATGATTGAAAGAAAACAGAACGAGTTTTCGATTTAGCAATGGATCCTGCCATAAAGCTCAACACTTTTCCCTGGAGGCGAGTCTCTGGAGGTAGGATGTTGCGGTCATGGCGGAGAAAAACTGTTGGTGTGGTGCTTAGAGCTCCTAAAGCGGCTCTTCAGAAAGGCAGGCTTATGTATAGCTGTCTTTCGACGACAAATCTTCGCCTCATGCCGCAAATACATCTGCCTCATGGTGTTTTTCTATCGAGCTTGACCACTAATCCGTGATCAATTGAGGAGCGAATTTGTGTCACCCGTGTCTTTGAGACGTCGTCACGAGGTCAGATAGTGTCAGATCAATCGTTGGGAAATCAACATTCACGGAAGAGATGGCGCAAAGAACATTGAAATCTCGCAGAGCGTCACAGACTTGGTTTCTGACCAACTCGTGCGTGATCTCAATGAACTCACGAGTCACCCGTGCCGGGAGCAGCGCTGGACCCACGAAAGTCCCTCGAGCCGTGGCGTCCTGCGGAGTCGACCGGCTGGATGCCCCACCAGGAACCTGGCTCGTCGGCAGCCATGAGACTCTGTTGGATTAACCTCGTACCCATAAGGGGCACTAAGCAACAGGCTCAGAAGATGAGATTTACGAATTTATTCAAAACTCACTTTGAAAGAAATCTTATGAAAAAGAGCATAAGCTTCATTCAATACTGACATTCTAACATTTGCCTCCCAAAGACGCAAAAACCATTCTTCTCATTTAGAAAGCTTTTATTCTTTACGATATTTCGATTTTTTTCTTGGTTCTCAATTTATTGATATATATTATCAGACTTTGTCGTCCTTCCACATAACGATTTATTGAGGCACCATGAGCCTTGAGGTGATGAGTGCTTGAATACATTTTAATTGAATGATTTCCAAAATTTAGTTATGTACTTAAGCTTGTACATAGCGACTTGGTTGATTGACTGGACTCTGGAGGGCAAGCGTAACACTCTCACGCAACAACTTCGGTCTCAAGCTTCAGCTCACCATACATACTCAAATCGATCACGAACACCATCCCTTGAAAAGGTATGACTTATCTTTCTATTACCAAGTTGAACATTAATTCATCCACACAATCTCTGACAAGGTGTTCAAGCGTATAGCTTGCCTCTAAACAGATCGACATGTCTTTTCTCAATCGAGTCGGCATCGGTTCTACCAAGTCATCTAGCTCCAATAAGCCCAATCAACCTGGGACCACCGCTCCACCAGCCTCTTCTACAGTATCTCAACAACCCCCAACCTCTTCGGCTTCTTCTCATCGATCTCCCCCTTCACCAGCTGCCGCCACTTTTGATCCTAACCAATACGCTAGTGGACTTCCAAATAGCTTAAGCAATCTTTCCTTGACCGGCAATGGCTCTCCTCAACGAGCTGTCACCTCTTGTGGTCCTAGTGGAAAAGCTCTCTATTTGTGCAACCCATTTGTTAAGGCGGCCCTCGTGAAAGGTAGTTTTCGGACCATTGTCTCTTTACCGAGATACTGTGACGTCAATGAGGTCAGTCTGCTTGCTGCCTAGCCTTTGAAGGTTCCAATCGGATTGCGAGGGCTGATTTTAATGATTTCAACTAATATCCAGTGGGTTGCAGTCAACTTGGTCGACTTTTTCAACTCGCTCAATTTGTTTTTATCCGTGACCCCCGAATGTTGCACTGGAACTTCTTGCCCTACTATGTCTGCCGGTCCAGGGTAGGTTGCGTTTCTGATACAAGAATCCATCATCCTTCGTCTTCTTAAATATTGTATTATCATCATCTACTTCCCAGAATGGATTATACTTGGACCAGTGCGACTAGCGGTACGAAAAAACAAGTCAAAGTTCCTGCTCCTCAATATGTAAGAGTAGTTCCTATATCGTTCCCATCATCAATCACTGACCATCTATTTAAATAGATTGATTACGTGATGACATGGGCTGAGAAGCTATTAGCAGACGAGGGTACCTTTCCGACCAAGGCTGGTCGTGAATTCAACTCCAACACATTTCCATCTTGTGCTCGTCATTTATACACCCAATTCCTGAGAATCTTTGCTCACCTCTATCATGCTCATTTTGATCACTTTCTACACGTGCGTCGTTTGAATCTTGCTACCTCCTATCGTGCCTGTACTCCTTGAATAGACCCAAAGTACTGATGATATCATTGGGATCATATCCACGATCGCAGTTATCTTCTGAGGGTCATCTGAATTCTCTCTTTGCCCACTTTTTGCAATTTGGTGGGGAGTTTGACCTGATTGAACCCAAGGTAGATTTCTTTTTTTGCTCACCCCTTCTCGAACATGCCAAGACCAGCAAACACTAAAAAGAATCGGTTTTGTTAAACTTATCCTAGGAGTTACGCGCTCCCAAGGAAGGTGTTCCTTTTGTAGTAGGAGATTTATTAGACGCTTGGAAGACGATGGGCATCTTGTCTTGATCTCACACTCTTTCCCTCATTCTTTCTTTCCTTTCACACTTTCATGCTTAACAGAGCCATCCTTGAGTATTTTTTCGCACGTACTAATTTCTTTTCGGCTCACTCACTTATACTCTTGTTTATATGAGGAGAGATCTCATTGGTTTGGTCCATGCACGCTAAACATAACGTGGGTGGACCCATATGCACTTTGACATTTTCTTTGGTCATGTTTGGTCATAGATGAAACATGTTGACTTGATTTGAATTCCACAAACCATGAGGCAAGAATCCCTCGAAGAAAACAGTACATGTGATTATGATACAATGGTACAGAAGAATATTGATGGAGTTTGAGATTTTTATCCCAGAGAAAACACATTTCGGAGCATTCTCAGTCTGCTCCACTGTCTGGTTTTGCCCTCTATCTGTCCAACTTGTATAAGTCCCTACAGTTGACATCACCAAAGTTGACCGGTTACTTACTACTTGGGTACTTTTTATGGTATGTTATTTCACAAACATGAATTGTTTTGGACAGTTTGAACAAATGGGAACCCAAGAAAGGCACATACTCGTGAAGCCATGTTGGCACATTGTCAAAGGGTCAAAATTTGGATTCAATTTGGCAAAAATTCTTGACTTTTCAATTTCTTTTGGTGGAAATTGGCATTATTTGTACCCCTCAATCAGTTGGACTGGGGCCATCTTGGGGCAGATCTCTCAGAGAGGTTTGGTTAGAACAATTGTATTGATTTGAGATGTACCAGCCTGCTCCGACAAAGGACTTGTGTGATGTTCAGATTTTGGTACACAAGATCAGTCATCTTATCCAGTGAAAACTTATAACCATTCCAATATTGATTCTTACACCCTTTTAATGACAAAAAAGGTTTTGAGCTCAAAATCCAGGTTGTTACTGGATAAACCCTTTTATTTGGTTGTATCACAGCCCAATTCAAGGTTTTCTCTAGTAAAGGACTTGGGTCTGGAACTCATTTTTTTTTCTTTAATAAAGCTTAAAGGGTGCAATCAGCAATATTGGAATGGCTGTAATTTCCAAACCCAATTTCCACACAGTACCAGGTACTGTGCGCACATGATGATGTGCACATGCACCAAGCCACCTTGGGCATTTGAACCAATGTGTGCTTTGTGGTTCTTTCAATGGAAGTAATTTTTTCTTTGGTGAGTCATCTTATTGTTTTGAGCTGTACTGGCCAGCTTAAAGTGACCAGTACTCACATGAATATGGTGGATGACAGCAAGAAGCACAAAGCCGTGTACCAGGTCTTTTCATTTTGTAATTACAAACACAGAAAACCCAAATGAATCGGTCTTATGAAAGTCAAAAAGAAACATAAACTTTGAGATGTGGTCTGCTGGTGATCATTTTGAATCACCCTCAATGAGAGGACCTCAAACATATCTCACTTTGTCATTTGAGTGTTTCTAACAGCTTGAGGAATCATTTTTAGAAAAAAAGCCAATGAAGCTCTTGAGCCTTGTAAGTCATGAACAGAGGTTCCACTTTGAGTATCATGGGACTCTACTTAGATTCATGATTACTAGTAGTTCAAGTTGTTTGTGACCCAATGGAGTACCTGTAATCATACAGGTACTTCAACTAAGAGTACCACGTGATATTGTACTCTCATGCAGAATGAGGACAAGTACATGTACTGTCTTTGAACTGCATGAAAAGGCAGTTGTACTCATACTGTCTTCCCAACTTTAGCCTTGCTTGTATCAGTATTACTCATCCAAGCAACCCATTACCAAAGCTAAAGCCCCATACAGTCCAAGCCATAGTTATCTAAACTGACCTCTTTCTACCAATTTGACCACTGGATTGATAAACAGTGAAAACTTGAACAACTAGAGTTTGCTTTGGGTGTGGCTAAACTCCACTAGATCTACATGATATGGGTCAAGATCGGATTGCATGTGCTTGAAGCAAATTTTTTGGGACTCAGACCCATGGTAATTATAAGTAAGCTTCACTATCTCTCAACAAGAAATCTCTCCCAGAGCTTTGTCAAATTTCTCTTGTGAGATAAACTTACTACCTTGTTTTTCTTCTGACCCACACAATTAATCTACTCTCTAATTTTATCTACTTTGCTGAATTACATCATGGGCAAATCTCCAGCCAGCGGTAGTACTTCACATTTGGAAAACAGGACCTCCCCATATGCTTGCAGGGTCACATTAGGGTCTTGATCCTCCCGTCAGGCCATCCACACCTTGAAGCAATCAACAACTGCTCAAAAGGACACTAAAGATGGAGGGAATAACTCGGTCTCAAAGGATGCAAGGATACAATATGATATCTACTATTAATTTGATGTGCTCTTTTTGGTTTTTCCATTGCATCAAGTATTGACATTCACTAACAATGAGTTTTTGATACAGGAGCCCAAGTTTACCATCATTTCTGGTGAAGTGCCTCAGGGGTCAGCATGGCCCTATTCCCATCATGTATTGCTGCCTCCACTGCCCGTGAGTATTGCTGAACTTGTTTATCAGTTGCCATGCCAATACTGAAAGAATTGTGTAATCTCATCTTGGCTCTCTTGATAATTTCTACCCCAGGTTTAAACACACTTCCAAACCACAAACTGCACAAACACCAAAGACAATGCCCAGGCTTGAAGGAAGCTTATATCAATGGAGCCCTAGGTGCAATTCCTCCCAATTCAGATCCTGCTGACATGGCCACCCAAAAGAAGAATATTTGAAGCTTGCTTGTCAGAGCAGTCATTTCAAAAAGTGTCTCCTTCTCAATCTTTGAAGGTGAAGAAATCCAACATGCTTTGGGATCAATTGGCCCATCTTTTCACTTGTCAGGTTGCACAAGAAAGAAAAATAATGCTGAAATTTTATGTCACAACTTGGAACAAAAGCTCATGGACAATCTTGCAGCAGTTCCAGGGTGAATCTTAGCTGCCACTGACGGCTGAACTTCTCAGGACTTCCAGCATACCTACATGACCATCAATGGATTTTATTTTGATGTGCAGGGCTCCTTTTGTTGCCAACTACTGTGGTTTCAAACTAAGCTGATTATGACATTTCTTTCAATTCATTCTTCATTCTAGGTTATTCTTTTGATTCCTTTTTTCATCTTTGTTTCTTCTAGCACTGAAGCTAATCTATTATATAGGACCTAGAAGGTCAACATGCTGCGGAGAAGCGTTCCAATAGTTATTGGGACATCTTGCAAGAACAAGGTATCTTACAGCATCACTTCTTTGTTGAAGGCAAAAATGCATCAACAAACTGTGCCATGGTACACATTTTCAGAACACAGCACAGTCGGAGTTACCTGATGAGTACAGTCACTTTCATCCCTTGTTCAATGCTCCACTGTTCATGAGAGTGACAGCCAACAATAGCACACAGGCAGTTGTGCAACCTCTGGTGCCCAGATATCCCTCAGCTGAAAATGACTTTGTTTCACCAGAATTTATAGCAGGGTGGATTTCTGTTATGTTGATTTTGTCTCATAGGGTTACCTTGAGAGGGAATGAATAATAGGTGTGGACTGATGGTAGGACACAGAAGGAAAATGATATTTGGATTCCTCTGTTTGATATTTCCAAGGGATTGGACGTTTTCATTCAAGTTATCATCAACTGCATCTGGAAGAAGTGGCTCCAGATTGGAAGGATAGAGAGATTTTGTCTAGGCCTGAGGTGGGTTATGCTGCTACTCTCACTACACGAAAATTAATATTTTCCAAGGGGAAAAGAAAAATAGGTGGAATTATCTTTTCCGTTGCCAGGCTGCAGCTCAAAGATATCTTGCTCAGATTATCCTAACAATCTCTCGCAATCTCTTGCACTCTGATTGCTGCAGCCACCTTCTGCAGCCCATGAAATTCATTTGCGTGGATGAGCTTGTTCATTACATAGATGTATCTTGTACCGTAACTTAAATGATTCAATTAATGTATGTAAATACACTTCTTCCGTTCGATATGAGCCAATTGGAACTGTCATCAGACCTACATACATCAGCCTGACAACCTCTACATCCTATTCCAAAGTGTTCTCGAATCAGAAGAGTTTGCTGAGTACCCAAGAACCAAGAAGTGGGACGCGAACATCCACCACTCTTAGCACGCTCGATTTGGCTTTTGCAGGCTGGTTTGAATCAGAACGTCTTACTCGAAATCAACCCGCCCATCCACTTTATACATTTTCAATCTGGGCTCTAGTACAGTCAAATCATACCATGATCTCACCAAAATCGAAAATCGATCCGAGAAGAGTTGTCTGTAAGTGCCAGAGTCACGGCTGTTACAAAGGCATCTTCGTCGACGCCCATGGAAACTCTCAGCGAGGTGTGGAGGTTTGTCCAGCGAGTAAAGAAGCACATTCTCGTGCCGACTTGCGATCACGAATTGAGTCAACATCCGCGGGACGTGATGGGAAATCAATCAAGCTCAACCGAATCACCCTCGGTGGATCAGAGAGATCAGCTTCTAGCGCCTCTAAGCCGTCTGGGTTTGGGTTCATCTAAGAAGTCGACAGAACGCAATCTCGGGATGAATACAATTATAAATAGATCTGTCTCCGCACCGAGCCATGCCCATAATCGATCTCTCAGTCACCCTCAAATCATTTCATCGTGTGAACCATCCACGTCCAATTCCAAGGAACGGGAAAACATTCAGACTACAGAAAAATCGTCACCATCAATCCATATACGATCTGACGACACTCCCGTGGCTCCCTTGCGCAACGAAACACAATCTGTGGATCAAGATGTATGCAATGCTGCAGATTCAGCAAGAAAAAACGGATTACAAGAATATGACACCAGTAAGTATGTTCCTAATTGAATCGTACTATTTGACCAACTCACTGATTTTAATTCTTGCCTCTTGAAGACCGCTTTCATGTCTTTAACTTATCATCTTTCAATCCAGTGTGCCTTCATATTGTACTCACTGCTGTCATCATGAGTGTATTTGATCATGCCTCAATGTTAACATCGGCCTGGCTGATGGACATGATGCGCATATCAGTGGAACTTTCGATAATGTACGGTCTAGTAACCAAAAAAGACGCCACTCCACTCACTCTTGCAGAAATTCCAATGTTTCAAAGGTTTCCTCGTACTATCACCACTGCGATTAGATGGCTTCATATTGATCCATCCCTGATTTATATGAATTGCTGTAGAAGCTGCTTTGCCCTTTATTCCCTGGCCAAAACACCAACCTGGTGTAATCATCGAATTCAAAATGTTCCTGGAGGACCTGCTGATTCATCTGACGCAAACATCGAAATTACCACTGAAATCGGAGAGGCGTCGGACACGCAAGAGCAAGATCATAAAGAAGAGACCTGCGGAGAGCCTCTCACTGCAAATATAATGTATTTTTCCCAGGTGAAAAATGATTACATTTATTTCACAAAATGATTAAAAATGCATTAATTCTGCATTAATTCTGCATTTTTCTGCATTAATTCTGCATTATTAATCATTTTGTGCATTAATGTCAATCATTTTTCACCTTGGAAAAATACATTATTTTTGCAGTGTCTACTACGCTTCGTCCGAGGTGAACAAGTTCCAGTCCGACGCTACGCTTTTCAAGACCTTTCTGAGTGGATTGCACGTCAATACTCACGACCACTCTTTGAGGAATGGCTTGACAAATCATTGGTCGAATCAAGACGTCCTTTTGATGCCAGCAAAGATATCCAGGACATCCACGGATCTCGGATCTGGAAAAATTTTCGTGGACCAGATGGTCAACAGTTCACAGCGAAGAGCGGGAATTTGGTATTCGGAATGTTTGTTGACGGTATCAACCCGTTTGGAAACAAGCAGAGTGGCCATCATGATTCAATTACGTTCATAGTTCTCATCTGCCTTACACTACCCATCCACATTCGACATCGGCCAGAGAATGTATTTCTTGTAGGAATTGCACCAGGTCCTCGAGAACCATCACTCGAGCAGACCAACTGGATATTAAGACCAATTGTAACTCAACTTCAAGAGTTATGGAATCCTGGTCTACTCTTGTCTAAAACTCGTCAGTACACCAACGGCCGGATCATTCATGCGGCATTATTACCCTTCATTGCAGATATCCCGGCTGTGCGACGATCACTCGGCTTTCCGAGTGCCACGAGCAAACACTTCTGTTCATTTTGCCTACTTGAAAAGAAAGAAATTGAGAACTTTGACCAGGCTTCATGGCCTCTCCGAACGTGTTCACAGCACAAGCTATGGGCATATGAATCCCGTGACTCGAAAAGTCCTGAAGAAAGAAAGGAAATCTTTGAAACTCACGGTGTTCGCTACTCTGTCTTGAATGATCTCAAATATTGGAATATCGTGGATTTTCACGTGGTCGACTCAATGCATAACCTTCTCCTTGGGCTCCTTTCATGGCAGTTGCGACGATTCTGGTCTATGACCGATATCAAGAGCGAAGAAGATGAATTACCGCCTGTCAGTAAAAAGGAGCTGTTGGACCTTTTCGCCGAGAATTCTGAATTTCAAAAGAGTGAAAGCCAAGCTAGTAATCAGGAGGAAGTGCACGCGGCGAACGAAGGAGGCACCATACACGAGATTCATTCATCCGATCTGAGTAGCGATGGGGAATTCA